TGTCCACACTGACTACACCTGCCCGACCACTGCCTGTATGTGTGTGTGTGTGTGTGTGTGTGTGTGTGTGTGTGTGCGGGGTACGAGCAAAGAATAGAGTCTCATGAATAAATCAAGTCTTGGATCGTGTTGTGTATGTGACAGCGAGGTAGTAAAATGTTAATTGACGACAAGTGTTAGTTAAAGCTAGGTTACGATACATGAGCCGCTCAGCAGGCAACGTGATCCCACCTCAGCTCGTGATTTAATGTCACCACGCCGAGGAAGAGGAAGCACTTTAACACACAGCACCAGATAAAAACCACTCACTTGTGATATCCTCCAAAAATCATTACATGAAACATTCAACTTTTCATACAGCTGCAAAGCTCTGCAGCCTGTGTCTCATTTAACTGCTTCCTTTAAAGTAAACTCCATGTGGGTAATAGCTTTTAAAATACACTTAAATTTAAAAACACACACACACACACAAGCGTTTCTTTAAACCACATTGGACCTAAAAAGGAGAGGAAAAGCCTGGGCAAGTGCAAGTAGTGACAGGCTGTGTTTGAGCCTATTAAGAGTCCATACAGCCCAAAGACAGCATGAAAAACTCATTATTTCATACTCATACAGCAGTCAATCACAGGCAGACATGCACACACACAAACACACAACATGTTCCAACACCAAAGCAGACAAAAAGGTAGCAGATCTTTACCTGAACATCCATGAGAAAATGCCTGGCTTCACAGAAAAAATAATTAAAAAAAAAAAAAGACAATGAGGTATTTTTGGGGAGGGCGGGAGCCAAAGTTTGGTTCCTGGTGTGTGTGGCTCCCCGTTAGGAACTCGGAGGGAGTGTTTGGCTCGGAGAGGGAGTAAATGAGGGGAACATGTTAGTACACTGAGTCTGAGAGAGTTTGGCTCCCAGCTACGCTCTGATTAATATCAGATCTCCCTCTCTCCTCGCCTGCCTCTTGACAATCTTGTCACATCTGGCTGACAAATCCTCACAAGCCTTTTGGTGGCAGCGCAGAGCAGACACAAGGGGTGGCTGCTGTGTGTGTGTGTGTGTGTGTGTGTGTGTGTGTGTGTGTTGGGGGGTGTTAAGGGGGCCAGGAGGGGCGGATCACAGCTTGAGGAGACGCTGAAGGGGGTAAAAGGCTGGAGCAGATCCACACCCACCCCCCGCTTGTCCTCTCATGGATGGACCATCATGAACCTAATGAAGCTGGTGGGCTACAGTCGCCACCGCCAACACACACTCAACTCTGTAAAGACGAGCAGGGGCCCCTGTGCGTGCTTTTTCAGTTTTATGTGTGTATGTGTGCCCTGGGGCCCTGTGGCTCTAAAGACGAACATAGAGACACCCACAGAAAGAGATGGAGGTAGAAAGAGGGAAACAAAAGATGGAAGGAGTGATATTGCAGCAGGAATAAAGAGATAGGACATGAGTCTGTTAAGACACAGAGGGCCATTCTACTTACATTTTTCTTTTTCTCTCTCTGTCACACACACATACATACACACACACACACACACAAACATAAATCTGAATCATTGTCATGGTTTGCTAGAGTAATGGCCTCCCGCTCGTCAGGAAATGAAAAAGGCAACCTGTTAGAGGAAGACAAAACACACCGCACATGGCGAACTGATCCCAGAGCTCTATCTTAAATGAGTATTTTTTTATGATAAAGAGTTTTATTTTAAAATATTTTTGAAAGAAGGGCAAACTTAATACCAAACTGAAACATTTAAGGTTGAATTCAACTTTTTTGACAATAAAAACAGTGGCTGTTAATCTATTTTACACACCTTTAACTACTAATAAAATATCACAGCAGTACATGACGGCTCAAAATAATGATTATTTAAGAGTTTACAGAAAAAAGTCAGAAAAAGTTAGTCTCTCAGATCTATATTAATAAATAGAAGAATGTAGTAAAGTAGTAAATAATGAAGTAATTGTAATTGGCTTTTCAGTTAGCTGAAATATTACAAAATCAAAATTAAACAGTATCTGTTCGCTTCGTTCATTAAATGTATTTCCCCACACATTAAACTGCAGCCTGTAATCTAACAGTGAATAAACCACAACTGTTTCTCCTCAAACTGTTTACACACACACACACACACACACACACTATACACACACACAGGCATGGAGGGAGCCTTTTGCCGCTACCGACAGCACCGCCACCGCCACACAGACAGCTAGGCTAATTGTTACATTATGGCTGCAGCTAAACATTAGGCTGCTCTTAAATTACATTCCAATGGGCTGAGGCCAGCGGCCAGCAGGCTACAGGAGGCTACAGGAGGCCGGCCTTCCTCGGTTCCCCAAACTACAGACAGACATAAGGGGGGACGGTGGATGGAGAGCAGGTCCAGGTAAGGACTGGAAGCTAGTTCTCTCTCCTATAATGGTTTGAATTACTTTTTTTATTTACTTATTCTCTTAAGGACAAAGGGCAAGTGGTTCAGAATATAATAAATAGATAAACATAAAGTTCATCAGAATTAATCAAAAGGAGGTACAAGAGTGTAATTAAAGAAAAACATGAAATGTTAGAGAGAAATATGGAGAATCATGAGTGAAGCCTGACTTGGTGGTGAAGTTGCTGTTTTTGTTTATTGGGAGTTGTCTTGAGATTCTTGGAAGGCATGTAGGGACAATCTCTGTCCACACCGACCGGGGCTCAGACACAAGGTTTTGTTCTCAGTCAGCCACTGAAACATTTCAGAGCGACTCAAAGTTACAAAGATGTCAGCTTTTTGGGACGAGTTCTGAAAACTTTAAAGCTCAGTTTCAAATAAACTGCTCCGATATGGAATCTTGTTCTCTTATTTTTCCATCAGGCCACTCCTAATTTAAATCAAAATTTTACCACTTTCAGAATATTTTACTTAAAGTTCTCATAGAGCTACTTGTCACATTTGAGAACATGTGTTTTTTTGTTTAATGAAAATTTGTAGAAATAAATGATATTGCTCAAAAGTAAGGTATCAAAAAAAGCTTTCATGTAGTTCTGAAACTCAGATACATAACCATAGTTTTGGTGCCCTATATGACAACTTGTAAGAACAATTCTAAAGAAAACACACATCTGGAATCACAGCAAAGCCAAAGTCTATACCAGCATGTTTCTACTCGTGCACACATAAAGTAATCAATGTATAAAACCATAAAATATATAAAACATCTATAACTCTGTGCATACCTCCAAATAAAACTCCCGTCTGTCACTGTGATCCACATAAACTCCTTCCAGTTTGTCTTTGTTAAACATCCTGACTGGGTGTGCAGGCTGTGTGTTTGTGTGTATGTGTGTGTGTGTGTGTGTGTGTGTGCGTGAGCGAGAGTAGTCAGAGCGGACGAAGAATAGCGGTGAAAAGCCGTCTCTCTTACCTCAGCCATTGTCATTTAGTCGGATGTTTCCAAGGATACCGGTGAGTTTGCCATTCCCCGCGAGTCCCACAAAACAACTGGCTCCAACTCTCCTGCCTGCACAAGTACTAACGCAAAAGAGCCATCACACCCAGCAGCATCTCCTTCAACAACCCAGACACACATGTACTCTGTCTTCACACACACACACAAACACACTGAGCCACCACTCCACAAAAAAAGAGTAGTTACTGTGCTTTTACTCTCACTGCACAGATGCACACACACACACGCCTCCTCTGCTTTCTCTCCTCTAATGTTGCCGTGGACTGGCTCTAAACTACTCAAGATGTTCAGTGTGTGTGTGTGAGTGTGTGTGTGTGTTGAAACTGGGCACTGGGGATTGGAATGAGATCCTCCCACTCGGCATTCTCACCTCAGGAGCTGCCTGCTCCCTCTGTAGCCTGCACACACACACACACCGGCATGCACACATAGAGGTGTGCAAGCTCTTTCACTCACACACACACACACACACACACACACACACACACACACATTCGTCTACCCCCTCAGAGTCACAGGGCAGTCCCCTCACAGCTGGCTGGAAGAGGGCATGACACTCATCTTTCACAGAGATTTGATCAAAAGGAATCACAAAGGCTGGAGGCTCTCCTAATGCAGTCAGGGGAGACTCTCCCTCTTCTCCCCTCTCTCTCTCTCCCTCTCTCTGTCTGAGTAATGCCCTAAATCAACGCTGCCCCTCTTGGTGCACACAGCCCAGTGTGTGTGTGCGTCTGGATTCACCTTAACACAGCCCTGTGAACAGCCTCCATAACAAGTTATGCCTTGTGCCGTCAGGAATGTGTCAGTGTCTGTGTTGAGTGTTTCTCGGGAGGAGGGGGACTTCACACATGACAAAAACTAAATCTGTGTTATCTTTAGGAATACATGCTCCTAGGGTTGGGTATCAAACCTCTCACACTTTTTTTGGGACTGACCGAAATGACAGAAAAAAAGTAACGAAACCTGGCACTGAAAGTCTGGTCAGATCTGGTTTACTCCTTTTACTAGATGGTTCCAGATTTAGATGAAAAGGTTGTCAATCTGAGCCAGGTTTTTGTAAAACTAACAGCGTTTGAGAACTTGGATAACATCTGCAGCATCTTTTGATTTTGAAGGGAAAAGGACTGCAAAAGTATCTGGATTTGAGGCTCAGGTATCAAATTGGCACTTGAACAGGAAAAATTATAAAAGCGCCAAATCTTCCTAAAATAACTTCAACTTTGTGTCACTTCCCATCAGTGGACCAGGAAATCTATGGAGCAAAAGTTCTATTACTGGGAATATCACCATCTATATTCCACCATAACACTGTCATTGGGGGTTGCTGTTGTTTGAGCAAGCATGCTAGCTAACTATCTTATGGACTATGGACATACAGTCTTTCATCAGGAGTCGACTATTTTTGTCTCTTTTTAGGTGTCAGGAGTGAAAATGAGTCATCCTCAGCATTTGTTGTGTTTGGGTTTCAGAATGATCAAGACAGTTGAAGAACAAGTAGATACAAAACAGGATGTAGGTGCTACAGGATGAGTTATTTCCTGTATCATATCATGTTTTCCCAAATGATGTACAGACGTGAAGGAATTCTATTATCTCAACTGGCTTGAAAAACTGCATGTAGCTGCAGTAAATGGAAAAAAAATCTCCCCAGGGGTGCATGCCCCCAGACCCCCCTCAGTTTGGGCTAAGCCCTGAATGTTTGCAATGTCTGGCTCCGCCCCTGGTAGCAGCTATACATGTGATGGGACAAATGACAGGAGTTTTAGTTCATACTGTTTGAGGAAACCGATTACCTTCAGCAGTTTAAATTTATTAACTCCAATCCATCCAACAATTTAAGCATGAAAAAATATTTGATAATTCATTCATTGTTAAGGTGCATATTTTTTAATACAAATGTTACCACTTAATTTGAAGTACTTAGTCCTCCTTATCTAGTTCTTCCACTAAAGCAAATTATTATATTTACCTCCAGACAGCAGATTCATGATAAAAAAACAATTTATAATTAATTGATTATCAAAATGCCAGCAAATTCAGTTTGGGGATTACATTATTGCAATGATATAAAGAACAAACTGGTGTTATAATACCAATACTTAAAATACTGCACACATTTAAGTGCACTCACAACAACTGAGTCATTACTTCAACAACTCATTTTTGAGTTGGGTTTAATTTGTGGGAATGAGTGACTCAAAACACTTTTTGGGAGGATTAAGTTATGTTAGCTTACTTCTTTTATCATGATATAGTGTTTATAGGGTTTACAGTGTACAGTGAATGTAGAAAATGGAAGAATACATTCTGCCTATATTACAACACAGGGAGTTTATGTGATGGGACAGAGGGTAAACATGTGAGGGGTTCATATCATTAACTTAAGACAGCTGTATGTTAAAAATACTGTGCATTGACTATTTAGCACTACAGTATATCCATTAAACTTGGGCACTTCTATATTATTAAGCCCATCTCAGATACACTGCAGCTTTCAGAAAAATCCTAGTAGGGAACAATTATTCTCATTATTCATTTACAGTGTTGGACAGTATTACTAGTAATAATATTACTTTCCCTAGTAAGTAGTAGTGTAACTAATCACTAATACAGTTACAACCCACCTCCCCAAAAATTTGTTTTGTATATGTATGATGTGTCTATAAATAACAGAAGTAGTTTAAAAGATTGTGTTGCATCATCAGTTCGGGTCAGGTTTTTCATCTTGCATGTAACTTTTATGGATTTATAGGAGCCGATCACACACCGAGACACATCGCTACAGGCGCTCTAGCAAACTCTAGCTTAATTTCAAAGAGGTGACTAACCGTATTCCGTAACTCGCTCACAGTCAAACAGTTAGCTAACTAGCTAGCTAGGTAACCGGTATAATAAACAGCTTTAAAACAGGAGGGAAGTGGTAAATATTAGCTGTTGGGGCTACGTGTGACAATGACGAGCGGCACGACTCCTCACCTTGTGCTGAAAAGTTAAAAAAATATTTAAACTTTCATGCTCATCTAAAAAACGCTAGAAAACAGCAACGGAAGAGAGGACAGCTGTGTTTTATATTGTTTCTCTAATCTTTGCACTGTCTAACACTGTGTAAATCTGGTTTTTAAAGGCACTTAAAAAAAGTTTGTTATTATTATTATTATTATTATTATTATTATTATTATTATTACTACTAGTAGTAGTAGTAGTAGTAGTAGTAGTAAAGTGATATTACTTGAAAAGAGCAACGAGTAATACAAAAATTGGTTTAGAATTTAGTAAAAAAAAAAAAAAGAATAGCAGCAAATCCTCACAATTGAGAAGCTGGAACAAGGAGATGTTTAGCACTTTTGCTTGAAAATTTTCAATAACTAATAATTTCAGCTCTAACTCTAAGTTTCCCATTGACAACCATGAGTTGAGGGTTGATGTGGGCGCTATTTCAGTTTAAAACTAGTAACTGACACAAACACATAACCGAAGAGCTTTTAAAGAGTTGACACTAGTGAAATGATGACAATGAGCTCCTAATGTTTTCAAAAAAGTATGTGTGGCTATTCATAGAAAGTTCATATTGAGGAATTCCCCTTTGAGACTGATCAAATAAGGGTTAATAATGGTTTCTACACCTTGTCCTTTACTTCTGTCTTTTTTCTTTCCATTTTTTCCTCCGTCTGTGGCAGATGGAAAGCTCTGATGATTTTAGCCATTAGAGGCATCTGCTAATCCAGAAATTACACAGCAAGTTTAAACAGGTACACTTGGTCGGCTCTACCTGTGGCAGCTTAAGGGAGGAAGGGAGGGTGGGAGCGAGGGGGTGTCACCAGGTTAAGACACTCTTCAGTGTTCAGGTTCAGTAAATAGAGTGTAAAATTGACTTTTTTCCCCCCTTTTTGTGAAAGCCTTATTTTGCCCAATGGAGCACTCTGCTTTCCACAAACCATATTTATATCACTTAACAACTTCTTGTATAATGAAATTTTTCTACTTTTACCCTCTGAAGCAGTGGGGGGCTCAGTGCCTTGTTCAAAGGTAAATCAACTGAAACGCTGTAGGGAGGAAAGACTATTACTTGTCCACTTTCCCCACCCACATTCTCCCAGCGAGGAGCTCGAGCTGACAGCCCTCCAATCATGAACCCGCTTCTCTAACCTCTAGGCTAGCAACACCCCCTGACTTGACATTCAGAAATTTGCCAAGCAGCCTCGCTAACTGATAAAAATGCAGCTAATGGCCCTTGAAGTTGGACATTAAAACTGCATTACTTTCCACAGGAGATCAAAGCTGTTCTTATTTGTGAAAAGCCCAAAATGTTATGAGGTTACATATATGGATAAGAGACATCCCGTCAAGGCATGTAACGCAAGGTTGGAAAGCCCTCCACTTCCCTGCGGCCGTGCAGGCAAGCAGATCTGCTTACCGGCCTTGTATTTATTCCATACCTAGGGGATGCATACCAAACACAGCCCCAGACCTGGCCTGGATTAGGTCTGCACTGCTTGTCAGATTGCTGCTCCCTGGGCTGGAGCACCACAGACGTATTTGTGCCCCGGGGGCTGAGCATAGAAGCTCCAGCTAAAACCACAGCAAATAAACTCCATGTGCAGCAGAACAGGTCACGCTGCCTACTTACATGTCTGTCATTAGCCTTCCTGCAGGGAAGTGGGCTTGAGTACTTGAGCAGATGAGCAGCTTTGGGAGAGCGTTACACACTCCTTTACACTTTCTTTATTTGGGTGTGTACACTTGCACTCCGTCATTATTGGTCAAGTGATATATTTTGCGTTATTTTAGAGGTGTAACCTATACTCTGAAAAGTAATTCAGTGGACCTATTACCACCACTTAGGTAGTAGGTAGCCTTTATAAAAATATCTTTTTGTAATATTTGTTGAAACTTTCACTATATCCTAACAGAATGGTAATGGATGGTAAATGGACCTGTACTTGTATAGTGCCTTTCTAGTCTTCCGACCACTCAAAGTGCTTTTTGATT